CTCATTTTCCCTACCACAACTCTGAAGTATGAGGATAACTGGAATTCAAGAGACCTTGTTCTGTGGGGAAGACAGATGAAGAGAAGGTTGGCTTCTGTGCAGGATTTTTTTTTCTTGTTGAGAAGGGGAGGAAAGAGATTATTCCTAAACCTTGTGTGTTTAATCCTGCTAAATGCTGCTCTCTCTGATCTTACTGATTAACATTTGAAGCCTATAAATCTAGGGTATCAGTTATTTGAAACTAGTAGCATATCAACATTTTAATTAAAAGGAAAATAAGAAAGGAGGGTGGGGGGGAAGAACCAGTATTGCAGTGTGCTCCACAAGGATGGGATGTACACAAGTATTTTGTTTCTTGCTTTACAGAGTATTGGAAGAGGTGGGTCTTTCCCCAGAGAACCTGATGTCTAAAAGTCTCACCATGCTTTAGTGTTTCTACAGCTCTCTATATTTTTAATCAGGAATGTCCTTTATATATTTTCACTTGGTACAGAGAGGAATTTTCTCTGAGGATGTGCTATGGTGAGGCAGAAATTATAGGACCTGTAGCAGCAGCAGTAAGAAGGCCTTATAGATGCATCAAGTTGTCTGTATATGACAGAAGGAACAGGAATAGGTAGACTTTAAGCACCAAATTTGTAGGAAAAGGAGGACTTAGCCTGCAGAGCTGTGTATTGCCATGCTTCTAGTGGCAATTGATATGTTTGAGAAGAAAATCATTAGAGGTAATTTCAGCTTAAGTTCAGCAATTTTTAGCTAATGCAAAAAGAGGCTGTTTATTCCATAATCTTCAACAAAGTGGATATTCTGGGGCTGCAGTGAGAGGAGTTGTTTGAGGCTCTCTCACTTCCCTCTAGTATGCTTCCTTCTCAGTGCTGGTACAACTGGTTATACAACTATACTGTAAAGCAAATCAGGGAATGTGCTTAAAATACTGTAACGAGTTCTGTTGTTTTGTTGTTTGTTTTTTCTTTAAGATGAATCAATTTTGCATTCCAAAGGACATTCAGAATTTATAGTATGACCCTATAAGCATTGTGCAAGCACAGCTTGGGGGGAACAGGCAGAGCCCAGAGGCGTTTTCAGCAGCTTTACAAGCTCCACATTTGTTTTGTGACACCTCAAATCAAGTGGAACATAAGTGTAGTCATGTTGATCCCAAGACCTTGGGGTCACTTCAGCTAGGAAGTAGCTTCAAGTTTTGTACTGAAGCCAAGCAAGGAGACCAGTTTTAAAACTATGGCTAGGGTATGCACTTGGGATTTATTTTACAGTAGGCCTGATGCTCAGCAAGGGTTAGCTGTCCCGAAAAGGGTTGTCCTATTTTTAGCCATGTCACTTCCTGTGCAGTGTGTGTCAGTTCTCTGGAGCTGATCTTCTGTCAGATCAGCAAGCTCTCCAGTCCACCAGAATAAATATCCTGTTTTTTCCCATCAGATGGATGAACTGATCTGACTGGAGGCAGGGGCAGGGGTAGGGGTGTGCAGCAGTGGCTGGAGAGGTGGGAGCAGACTCACCCCCTGCACAGTGTGTGGTTTCAGCAGTGACTGCCCACCATTACTGGCTCTTCCATGAGGCGTTAGGGACAGTTTTGAAACAAAAGTCATCTGAAGCTGGGCCAAGAACTGGGGTGACGGGAGGTCCTTCCCTCCCCCAAAAACATCTGTTCAGTGCTCTCTTGCTGCTCCTGTTTGCTGAGATGGGGACAGAGTCTGACCGCTCTGTGTGTGGCTGTTTGACTCCTGCCCAAGTGGTGAGGAGGAAAAGTCCCTGAGGCACAGTGCTGTGTCATCCTGGCCCTTGCCCTCTTGCAGGAGTGGTTGTGTACAGGAGAGGCATGTCTGAAGTGCCCTGGCAGGAACTGCCAGCACTCGGATCTCTTCGTTCTATTTCCAGTCCCTGGTTTTGGCTAGTGGTTCTCCTAATTCTTTAAGCTGCTCTGCCACTGAAACAAGTTCCACACGTGTCTGCAGCTAGACCCTCTGTCCTGCCTGAACAGCACATGTGACAAAAGACCTCAGAAACTACTCTGTGTTGAAACTAATTGACAGAAGATAGTGGTTAATTTTTAGTTTTTGTTTGATCACTTCCTTGTTTCATTTGGGTGTCTGTGAGCAGTGAGAGGGAGGGCCCAGCATGGGAGAGGGAGTGAGAGCTTATTGTACTGGTTTGGCATTCTTTGGCTTTAGGGTTCAAATGGATCAGTTCGACCATCTCAGCAGCTTACACGCCGCTAAAATGCGTTCTCTCCTGGTCACGTGTCATCCCTTGCATCAATTCCAGAGGTTTTCCTGTGTGTTGTGCTTTTTACTTTTTGTGGTTTTGCATGTGAACTGACTGAGCTCACTGAACTGTCAGAAAACTTCATGGTGGTCATGGCCTGTTTTTTCCTGGTGGGCTTTTGTGGTGGCTCCTGGCACTAGTTGGGTGGGTGATGGTCCAGCTGAGCACTGGAGCTGGTGCGAGGGATTGTACACAGTTGTCCCTGTTGAACACAGCAAGCTGTTGTCTTGGTGCAACTTCTTTCTTGTTTGACTTCCTAACATTGCATCAGTTTGATGCTATCTCTTCATGTTATTCCTCAAATATTAGCAACCAATGAAGGATCTTCCGCTTCCTGTGGCCTTTATTAAAACTCTTCAGAAGAATCTCTGGCACTTCCCCTTGGAGATTGAAGTGTTTTGGAGCCTCATGCCGGTGGCTTGTGCTTTGGCTGGTGACAGGATCCACTGGTTAATGAACTTGGGAACTGGCTTAGCTGGAACTGGGGCCAGCTTTTCTTGTTTCTCATCTGAGCATCTTTGTGCACCTTTCACAATTTGTTTATTGAATAGGAGCAGAATTTTTTTTTTACATCCATGTTAGAGATTGCTATGCTGTGTTTGCATCAGCACCTGGTCCCTTCAGCAACGTTGTGTTGTGGAACATTAGCAGTAGCTGGTGCTGTTACTGGGTTCCTATGCTGCTTGAAGCTAATATTGAAGAGAAAGGCAGTCATGGTGAATTCTGAAAGTCAGTGTTCTAGGGTTCTTTAATATGCTGCTGCCTAAAATCAAAAGGACTAATACTTGTATTGTGACATTGAATCTCTATTAGCTCTTGGAATACTCAGTTGAAAGTATTTTTAATTAGTCTTTCAATCTTAAACATTCTGTGCCAGGAGTGACTTGTGTAAGGTTTCATCTTGAAATTGGTTCAAGTTATCAAAGGACAGAAAACTCGTGTTCATTTCTGCTTCCCTGAAATGGCTTCACTGAGTGTTGGGCCCAGCATAAGAATTAAATTCCCACATGCACTATTTGCACTTTCTTTCTGAAGGGCTTTCTGGAGAAAGGCAGGAATGAAAGTGCTCTTTCAGCTACAAGTGCAGTACTTCAGCAAAATCAAATTTAGTTGTCGTGTGAGGTCAATGGGGGCTTTGTGTGTCGGAAGCAAGTGCTTCTCCACTGGGTTAGGGGAGTGCAGTCAAACAGCTGAAATAAGCTTTAATTGCAGGTTCAAGCTCAACAAGATACTATCAGAATTTTGTTGTCTTCCTGCCTGTACAACTTCCTTGTCTTACATACTGAATACTTTTTCATCCTTACAATACCTTACTGCTGTGAGCAGAAGACTTGGCTTGTTGCTGTTAGCTTTGCAACCCAGAGATTTGCTCATGGTGTCAGTTTCCTATGTTTTGGGGAAATAAAACCAAAATGCAGTGGACGTAGGTGTGAGAGATGAGGATATTTGTCTGAAAGCAAATAATAGGAAAGTTGTTTGTATTTGTCTTCAGATACATCTTATGTAAAAGGAAATCTTTTTTACCCTGGTACTTCTTGCTGTGGCTTAATCTAGTTTTATAGCATCAAGTATTCAAGGGTCTTGAAACCCTTTTCCCTCTGGATTTTTTTCCTTTTCCTTTGAAATACATACTGATGTTACTTGAAAGATTGATTTGATTTTATTTTCAGTAATATTGCTTATCTTTGGTTTGACTTGCAAGAATTAAAACTACCCATGCTTCAGCCTAATTTTTAATCAGGAAAGAATAAATGGTAAGCCTAAATTGATCCTGGATGAAATAATTGATACCTTGATGTACTTCGTTTTCCAAAGAAAAGCTGTTTTTGCCTTCAAAACTGATACTAAAAAAAGAGCAATAATATATTTATTATTGATTTTACCTTGCCAGGTGGCAAATGTCAAAAACTGATTTGCAGAATAAACCACTTGATAATAGTTAGGAGGCTCAGAACACTGTTGAAAATGGTCATTTGTTGTAATTATCTTGTAAATATCTGTAAACATTCTAAAGAAAGCCAGGGACAAAAAATATAAATTATACAGTTGTTATGAAAACTAAGTCTAAGGGACATCAAATATCAAGGCAACTCATAGCTCACTTTTAGTATATTTTCACACAAAAATGATAAATAGGAGGTACGTGTGCCTAGTCTAATATTTTTGACTTAAGTGGTGATTATCTTTGCATGTGAAAAACCTTAACATGGGGTTTGTGGAAAGTAGTTATGTTGTGTTTCACTAATGATGCAGTGACTAAACAATAACATGTGAATTCATGTGACTATTGGTAATTATTGTGCAGTAATTAAGCCTGTGTACCATGCTTGGCTCTTACCTGACAGTTCTCATGCACAGTATCAGGTGTCCAGGTTTCAAGGAGAGTTCAGCATAAGTCCCCAGAACTGAGTGCTGGGAGCAATAATACTTCCAATATTTGCTAAAATGACTTTATTTGTGGGGTGTAGATTGAACATACATTAGTGGGGCTGGAAGGGTCTGTGTGTATGGGTCATGCAAAGCCTATGTATGACTGTATTTGTGCTGTTGGGCCTTTATAGACTTCTTGGGAAAGGGGACTGAGTTACCCACAAGGCATCTTTTCTGGAAGGTCTTTCTGCTGAGCTGTAGGAAACTGCAGATTTTTCAAATGTCAGCTGTAAAAGAAAAGGTTTTCTCAGGCTTCTAAATACTGGGTTGTGTGTATCAATTTTCAGGTTTCTAGAAGAAGGGAAAATGGCTCAAGAAACTAACCGTAGCCAAGTGCCTATGCTCTGTTCCACTGGCTGCGGATTTTACGGGAATCCTCGGACAAATGGCATGTGTTCAGTGTGCTACAAAGAACATCTTCAAAGGCAGAACAGTAATGGTAGAATTAGCCCTCCTGGTAAGTAACATTAACAATATGTGTGTTTGAACAGCTCAGAATGACACAGTAGACAGCAGCTTCCTGAGCATGTCCAAATACTGAAAGTATAGAGCATTAGTGTAAACCATTTCACTGGAGCATCTTAACATATGGAATGAGCTTGGATGAAATGCTCGTAATAGAATTGTGCTGTGATTAATCTGCTCAGAAACAGACTCACTAATGCCTTTTTTGTATTCATTTGAGTGTTTCCAATTTGAAGATACAAAAATGCAGGAAAAATTACTATACCAACATATTTTCCCTGAAATTACTGACAGTAGAGATAAGATCTAGGTTGGGGAATGTTTGTGAAAAGCATTTAAAATACAGGTGTTTAATCTCTGCGGCCTCATGCAGAAGGATTAACCTGTAGACACTTGATAGTTTTCCTAACTTCAGACACATTTTGTTTCTTGACCCTGTGCCCTGTCTTTCCTACAACTTGACTTTTTAAATTGAAGCAATAGCTTCCATTGAAATCTGGGGATCTGGGTTCTATCTTGGCATTAGATGGTACACCACTGCTTCTCACAGATCCATTTTGGTTTTCTAAACTAAACCCAAGCTTCTCATATCAGAATACTACAGTTTGTGCTGTGAATGCTGTTTGTAGATGCTTTAATTAGCAAAAAATAGTGTAGATGCTTTAATTAGCAAAAAATAGTAACTATTTTAAAGCTCCAGCATCAAAATTTTCTGCAGTCTAAGTTGTGGGGACTTAGAACTAGTGGGGGCCTGGGGCTGGAATGAGATCAAAATATGGCCAAACATAATTACTTTTTTGTGAAATTACATTTCATTATGATATAGGCTGAGATTCAATTACTTTCCTGACTGGTGTCGTAGAGGTCAAAGAATAATTGCAGTGTCTAACTTTTGCAATCCCAGGAACTGGCATAACACATTTTACATTAGTGTCTTCCTTCCAGCAGCTTCTGTCAGTAGTATAACTGAGTCCTTACCGGTTCAGTGCACAGAAGGCAGTGCCCAGGAAACTCAGTCCACTTTAGATTCTTCATCGACTCCATCTATGCAGCCAAGGTAAGCTGTTCAGTCTGTGCTGCGTTCCTGTGTAAAATTTTGTATCAAGATGGCTAAATGAAGTGGTTAAATGTTAGGACCTGGATTAGGACAAGGTGTAAGATTTCACTGCTGACTTTAAAGCATGAGATCTCAGTAAATAATAGCTCATCTCTTAGCTACATCTTGCATTCAAATGGAAATTTGTCTTTAGAATTTAGCCTCAAGTAGGAGCCTTGCCAGCTTCATGCCGCTCTAGGAGATTTGTCTAGCTAGTCTTCCCATTCCACAACTTGTAGTTGGTTGTATATTTACCAAAGGAAAGCTCTTTTTCCATCTTAGAAATCTGAGGACTTTGTAAAATGGCAGAGATCTGTTTACTGGAGCTCTCATAAATAAGTGTATGATAATGTGTTAACAAGCCAGTTGCTTCCCAGAGAGTGGAGAGTACTAGAACAGGGGAAGAATATCTGAGTCTTAGTACAAGTTGTGCTACTGAACTGATCTGTTATTAAACAAGCAATTTCCATCTGGATTATTCAAGGATACATAATGTCCTCTTGTAGATCACTCAGAATTACTAAGTGTTCTCAATTTGTAAAAGCTAAATATTTGTTTATATTTAGTGGCTGCTTTTCAGTTTAGAATGACAGAACCAACAGCAACTTAAGTGCTTTGGAATTTTTTTTGAGTGAGAAGTGTTAGTGTGTTATGCTATAGAAGCTAACTTGCAGTAATACTCATTCCAACTTTTCTTCAAGAATCAGAATGTAGTAAAACACAGGCTGAGGGTGACTTCACCAGTTATTGCTGCCTGATTCTGCTCACTGTTTTCTGCTCCTTAGCTTTTTATAGGAGGTGTTATCTCATGCTTGGATCCTGCATATGAACTGAGAGCTAGGTGCCATGCTTGATGCTATATTTGGTCTTTCCATTCTGAGATTTCTAGTTGGGATAGGAAATATATATCTTAGCCTGAAACAACTCTGCTATGCGTAAAAAAAAAATATCATCCAGATCAATGCACAGGTGTGAACCAATTACAGTGCCCTGGCTTTGTTCTCTCACACAACTCCTATGAAACCATGAGAGAGAATGAAAGTACCTCACTGATGACTGCCTTGATTACTGGTTGCAGGAGAAACAAGTGGCTATTTGCTCTTGACTTGCACTTCAAGAAAATCAGTGTCACTTGTTTGTTGTTTTGGGGTTTGTTTTTTTCCCCAGAATAAAGCAGGAATTCAGTTTCAACCTCTGGAAGTATCTCAGACCTATCATACTCTGAGGAAACATATAGTAAATTGACAATGCCCTTTTGTAGGTGGCCAGAGCTGCAGTTCAAGGCTTTTGTGTGGCTCTTGGCAATTGAAGTTGTGAGCCCAGTGCTCTGGTTGTGCCATGGACCTCTGGTTGGGCAGTGTCACAGGCTGCTGGACAATTCAATTCCTTAACTTCAGAGTGAATCCCTAAGGGGAAAGGAAGAAACAAATAGTGCAAATGAGGTAGTGCTACCTCTTGCTTGGGACTTCAGCTCTGACTTGTCCCATGGGAGAGCTGCTGGCTGAGCAGTTTGTCTGGGAGCAACTGCTAGTATCAAGTTGCTCTGTCATAACTGTTCAGGGTGTTTGTGTGAGTTTGCAGCCTTGCTGTGATTTAGCACTATGGCTAACAGGGTTGGGAGGTTTGGCCAGCACCACTTTACACTGTGAAAATCTAAGGGGTTCTGTGTGCAGCTGCAGCTGTTTTATTACTGGAAACATTGACATGCTGCAATTTTCTTGTTCATATCACTAGAACACCAAAAGTAGCTCCTCTGCAATTATCTTGCTGACTTAGGTTATAGAAATCCTTGCATATTGAATGCTGCATTGCTGCTTCTGTGTGGAAAGATGGTATGCCAAAGAACCCAAAATATTTTCCCCCTTTTTATGGTTGAACTGGTTTATTGCCTTCAATATGAATATGAAAATGTTTACCTTTTTTATCAGTTTGGATTGTGGCATTTTTTAATGATTACAGAAACAGCTTTGGAGTGATGAGTTTTCGGCATGCTTTTTCATCAGGAGGTACTCTAATGTGTCACTGTCAGGAAAAGAACATGGAAATGTATCATGAAAATCACAACTTTCTTCTTTTTGCCCCCCCCCAGCCCTGTGTCAAGTCAGTCACTTTTAACAGAATCTGTAGCATCGTCCCAAGCGGATAGCACGGCTGCGGACAAAACAGTACCTGAGACAGAAGAGTTGCAAGGTTGGTGCCTCGTTCTCAGAGACAGAACTTATGAGTAATGGTTTTTAAACTATTCTTAATATACTCCTGTTCAAGAGGTGTCTCGTTCTGAAACCCAAACATTCTCTGAAATCCGAAGGTAAAACAAGGATAAACTTTCTTTTCTTAAAAGGCAAGTCAAACCGAAAACTTGTATGTTTAAGTGGTGATATCATAATTGGTATCTGCCACAAGTGTATTTAATTGGTGTTGGAAATGCACATCGTAAGTCAATCTACCCCTCTGTCTTTACTTACATAAAATAGCTGTGACATAGGTTTGAGTGTCTGTTACTTCTCACAGCAGTCACTTGCAGCAGATATCACAAGGTTCCTGAGCGTATTTGTGGTAGTGTTACAGCATAGACGTTGCAAGAGCAGTGTTAGTATCTTTTATAAATGGGAAGCACTGTAAAAGAACTTTTCACTTAAGAACTGTAGTGGTAAAATATTTTGACCCACTGAAATTCACTATCAAATCTAAAATTGCCAAACCACAGACTGTTCCTGCTTGAAGGAAAATGGCTGAGTGGGTGATTTTAACTATATTGGCCCCAAATACTGATTGCTGGTACAATGGAAAGGGGGTTTTCTCTTTGCATTTTTCTTTCTTCCTATGTGCAGGTTTTCAGAGCTTAAGACTAAAAATTTTTTTAATAGTATTTTTTAGGAAATGCAAAATGTAATTTAAAAGGTATTTAAAGGTAAGTCAGTAAGTATTCTGCCTTTACTTCTGACACAATTGAGGCTTCAGTGGGTAGAGTTATATTTCTGCAGACTACTCTAAACGTTGGAGTTCGGGTTTTCCACAGATACAACTTGTAATTCCACTTAAAGATGCTAAATAATAGTTCTTTCATTGTACCTCTGGTGTCAAAGTTTTGCTTCTTGGATACTTTTCTTAAACGTGACCTGTCCCTTTTTGTAGGGTTGAATAGAAGAGTTCAGCTACTGTGCTGAGTAAGGCCATCTCCTTGGTCACACAAACAGTGGCTGTAAAACTTGGGAGAAATGTTTTTAGTGCTAACATTGTTTTTACTAACTTTTGAGATGTCAATTGTTAAAGACATGTTTACTCTTAAAAAAGTAGATTCTAGAGAGATGTTCTAATACCTGCTTGGTAGTGTGTTTTCTGGAGCTGAGAGTTCTCATTGCCTCAGTTTTGACAATGCATCTACTGTCATTTCACTGGAGGCAGAGGAGTACTTTATTTAAAATAATATTTGGTGCTTTCACTGTGAGGTGACTTGAGCCTGTGAAAACTTTTTCTAGCAAGTTTTCAGAGACATGTCTCTTCTTACCCATTTGGATAAATCTGTGCTCCTTCCAATTCCCCACCTCTAAAGCTCATTCTGCTTAGGAGAAGATAAAACAGGTTTCTCAGCAAGAAGTTTTGAATTTGAGGAGTGTATCTGCATTTTACAGGATATATTTCAAGGATCAACCTACGTCAGGTGTTTAGATTACTCAGCTGTGTCCTGTGTCCTTTTCTTTGTGCCATAGTTTCTAAACTAAGAACACAACCACCATGTAGTTGCAGTTCTAAGTTACAGTCCCTATTTATATCTCAGTGTGGCAGGGTCAACCTTGTTTCCTTAAGAGTTTGTTCTGTACTATCCCTTAACTGAAAATTATAGGAAATGTAGTGTTTCCAGTTTCAAAGTATTTTGGTTTGGAAGTGTAAGTTTGGAAAGAGGGTAGCTTGGGATAGATGCTAAGTGAATTTCATTGAATTGCATCCGGAAGTTTCTTTTTTTTTTTTCCCCCATGTCATTCAGAGTTTTAGGCTGCTGTCAAGAACATAACAAATGTGTGAATGTTTTAGTGTTGCCTGACTTCCTAGCATTTAAAAAAAGAGCAACGTGTGGTAGTTGGTCCCGGGCTGAAGAGCATCTAATGCTGCTTCTGTTGATACAGGGGAGGAAAAGCAGAGATTATGACTGCTTTGACCTGTTCAGTGTATATTCTGGTAAAATTCTGCTTTGTTGGAATGTCTGTTCTGTAGCAAACTGTTGTGTGTTGCTTGTGCCAGTTAGTGCATTGTGTTTTGTTGAGGTTCCCTTAACCTGCCATTTAACACAAATCAGCAGGCTGCAATAACATGAAGTGAAAGATTGGGGGAATAATTAAGCTTTCTTAGATTGCAATTATTACTGTTTTAAAGCAGACAGATAAATGGGACTTGAGCTGTGTGCACACAGTCCTTGCTGTTTGCAGACAAGCTAAAACTGCAAAGGGATAAAAGTCCCAAAGAGCAGCTCAGATTTGTCTTTGTTTGGTTTATACATTGCAAAAGAGGAAAGCTATAGAATATGTTAATAAGTCTAGACTTAGTGTTTGTGTGGTGATGCTTGTAGGTATGGAACACTACAAAAAGCCCAGATGCTCTTACATAGGGGCTAATAGAATTATTTTTTTTACTTTAATGTTCTTAAATATCATGAACATGCCACTAAACATGACTTAAAATGAAACTCATTAAGTACAATGCAGCTCTTTCTAGCAGCTTTCTTGTATTCTGAGCATCTCTACAACTCATTTTAGATTGCCTCCTGGGCTGTTTTACCTTTTGCCCAGCATTGTGGCCCTGTTAGATTAGCCAGTCAGGATCCCTGATTTGTTAGCCAGAGGATTAACAGCTGCCTCCCAGCAAGTCTGCGAGTGGGTAAAGAGGTGCTTTGCTTCCCTGGGATTAATGAGTTAAAACCATCCAGGTTGGGATTCATGCCTCATATTTCATGGAGTTTTTTTAAAGGTAAATGAAACTCGTCATGGCAGTCAGGAGCACTGCACAACATACTTTATGGAGCTCTTAGAACTCAAGAGCATAGGGCTGCAGGTATAAATTGAACTAATGGGTGATCTCTCAGCCTCTCTGAAAACTTCTGAGAGCCAAAACAGCCCCTCTGATTTAGAAACTCATTCTGCATTGGAGAGGGACATGTATTACCATTGGAAAATGCCATCACTCATGTAGAACTAAGATCTGAATAACTGTCTAAGAGGTACATGTCTCTTCTTCTGAAGGAAGTCACCTGGTTTTGTGCCTATCTAGGTTTTAGTGAGTTAAAACAGTTTAATTCAGTACTTTATGAGTAAGGGCAAAAACCTTGTTGCTAAAACATTAAAGTTGCTATAGAATTTTATGTGGAGGTAACTTGGATGTGAGGTGAATGAAGTTGAATGGTTTCAACTTTGGTGGACCTTACCAGGGCTGGCTCAGTAGACAGTACTGAAAAGGAATTGTTGGAGACTCAGATTTTTGTGGAGGTACCAGGGACTCAGAGGTAGAGTGTGATTGTAATACAAGTGTAGAAAATAATACAGGATATCCTGATCTGCTGGATGAATCCTTCAGAGAGAGAGGAAAGATTTAAAACTAAATTCTGTAGGGGAGCATGCTCTTATTTAATTTGCCTCTTCCTAACACTGAAACAGGATATTTTAGGCTGATTACTTCAGTCAAGTGTGAAAATGTTAGGAAGTAGTGATCTGCTTAGGCTGTTCCTTTGGAGGAGTGGGGATTCTTCTTCCTAGATCTAGTCAGATGCTCTTAAGAATTAAAAGTGGCTGTTCATACTCTTCTAGGGCAATGAGGCACCTTTTCCTTTGAGAGGCTCTGCCTAGTAATGCAGGGCTGATAAATGTAAAGCATCCAGAGCAGGGAGAGAGAAGGGAACAAATGAGGCATTGGAGTCTTGCTGCACACAGTTGTGTTGTGCCTGCAGGGATGGAAGGGCTGAAGTGTGCTGCATTTTGTGAGTGCTGTGTTCACAATCAGTCCGAGCACACTGAAGTTCAGGCAGGGTTGGCATAAGCAAGTCTGCAGGAAAACCTTGTGTCTTTAGGAGGAAGTCCAGGCTCTGCTTGTTTTGATCAGCTAAGAACATGTTCTGTAAATCAGGGAACTGCTAGTGGCCAGCCCAACTTGTCAGCTCCAGGAAAAGGAGTCTCTTGTGCCTTACTCCTTTGTCGTTGGCAGTTTGTACTGGTGCTGCCAGTGCTTCTGTTCTCTGACTAAAGGCAGAGCTGGGGCTGAGGGAAGGGAGGACATCAGTACAAGGAAAACAGGCAGTAGCATCCTGGAATCAAGATAAAGTACAGCAGCAGAGAGTGACTGCAACATGATTCATGCAAGCTCCAAGCTGGGCAGTATTGCATTTTACTTGGTTTTGTTCAGCTTATAGACTGATCATTTTGGTCATCTAAGGGATAGCTTAGTGGCTGGGATGCTCGTGATTATCATAGAGGATTTTGGGTCAAATTTCTGACTTCTATGCAAAAGCAAATTGAGACCTAAAATTTATGGTTACTACTGTAGATATGAAGTGACTTGTGGCACAGTAAGAGAATCTTCCCACTCAGTTCTACACTGAGCAGCAGCTCTTAAATATTTTTAAACCTTTTTAATGTGAGAGCCATACGCACAAAGAAAATGTAAGTAAGTATGTATGAAAACCTTGTTATGCAGGGAAAGGTGCCAGTTTTCCCTAAATTTAGCTAATAGTTGCAGAGGCTTTTAGTCAAACTTATATTGAGGTAACTGGATTTTGCTACAACAGGAAATGCAAGCTTGAGAATGTTAGCTGCTAGAGGCTAATTCATGGCATGAAGCTTTCTTAATGAATTAATAAACACTGCAATGCCTGTTTTGTATAAAACTGCAAAAGTTCATTTGGGTAATTCCTGCCCCTTCTGGTCCTTACCTTGCCTCTTTTAATCCTTGCTGCTTTTGATTCTTACCTTGCAAACCTTTGGATATTATCTGTCCCCTCAGAAATGTGCCCTTTAACAGCCATTTAAAGCCATTGAAGCCTTTTCTTTCAAACTATGAGTTGTTACAAGTTGCAGGGCAAAGAAAAGCTTTGCTTGTTACATAGATGGTGATTTAAAAGGATTTAATAAACCATGTACAATAGTATCTCTGCTAGATTAACCTGTGCAATGTAGTGTCTCCTCAGGCAAAATTGTTGCTGGTGATTAGGTATATCAGTATATCACTGATCTTGATTAGTACAGACTACAGTGTTTTAATACATAGCACAATTGATAAGTGCCCTTCAAAAAAACCCAACAGCAAACAGAACCAGCCAAAAAATCATCAGAATAGCAGCGCAGGAAAAGCCCCCCCGAATTGTCAGGTAGAAGAGCTGTCAACTGGCATAGAACTAGCGCAGAACTGCATCTGCCAGGTTGGGTAAAGCCTTGAGCAGCACTGGTCTGGTGGGAGGTGTTCCTTCCTCTGGCAGTGGGGGTTGAGACTAGGTGGTTGTTAAGGTCCATGACAACCTCTTAACATTCTAGGATTCCATGATTCTGTGACCTCACAGCCCTCACCAAAGTTCAGCTGCACAGAGGTGTGTGCAGCTTTCTTCTTGGCAGATGTCTGAGCTCAGTGCTGTATTCCCCTCCTTACAGCACTGGTTCCAGTTCTGCTTCTACTGACATTCCCCCCAGATGGAGCTTGCTTTTGTTCTTTGCTGCAAATGCTCCTAACTTCTGTATACCTTACTCACTGGAGACTTGTGCTGATGTGATCTAGCAATGTCTGGTAGGCAGAGGTTGGCTCTGAGCCCTTCTTGAAATGAAGTTGGGGTTTTTGGTTTCTATTTCTGTTTTGTAATGTAAGGAATGTGCAAATACTTGAGGAAAACCAGCCAACTTCTATTTTTACCTGGGTCAGGCAAATACTACCATTACTTGTTTGTATTCTCCCACATAACCTATAACCTGTTTCTTTTAGATGTGAGAGAACATTAAAGTAGATTGAAAGTTGTGGTAGAAAAAGCATCTTTAAAATGAGTTGTTTACTTGCTTCCATCTGGGTTTCAGGACAGGGCCATTCCACCCTGTAAGTCTGTGTGCCTTGAGCTGATGTTTTCACCCGAGGTAGTGATTAGCTCCTGTGTAGACTTTTTCCAGGTGTGCAAGAGCAGCAGCATCACAGTGGTAGAGATTGTTCTGTGTTTTGTGTGGCCTCAGTGCTGCAGCCTTCAGCAAAAATAATGTTTGTTCAGGATTTGAGATGGTGTTTGGCTCAACTGATCCTGTTACATACAGTGCTTCTTGCAAGCAGATTTT